ATTCCACTTCAGATGAACATTTCATCAAGCTGGAAATCGAAAATTTACTCAGTGAGCAGATCATCGAGCCATCTAACTCCCCTTGGCGCGCCCAAGTTTTGGTCACTACTAATGAACGCCACAAGCGTAGAATGGTGATTGATTACAGCCAAACGATAAGTCGTTTCACATTATTGGATGCCTATCCACTCCCAAAAATTGATGAGATGATTGAAAAGATTTCAAAATATACTGTATTTAGCACTTTGGATTTAAAGAGTGCTTACCATCAAATACCCATCAAAGAAGAAGAGAAACTCTTCACAGCTTTTGAAGCTTGCGGCAACCTCTATCAGTTCCGTCGTATTCCCTTTGGTGTCACAAACGGTGTTTCGTGTTTTCAGAGAGTTATCAGTCAGATTATCAGAAATGAAAATCTTCAAGCTACATTTGCTTATTTAGATAATATAACTATTTGTGGTGAAAACACAGAACAACATGCAAAAAATCTTGCCCGGTTCTATGAAGCATTCAGGAAATATGGGCTAACATTCAATGAGAATAAAAGTGTTATTGGCGTTAAACAAGTAAAACTTCTAGGCTATGAAGTTTCTCATAAAATGATCAAACCTGATCCCGATAGACTTCAAGCATTATGGAATTTATCACCTCCACGAGATCTTAAATCCCAACAGCGAGTCATTGGTCTCTTTGCGTATTATTCACAATGGATATCTCATTTCTCCGATAAAATTCAACCCCTTATACAAAATAAAATCTTTCCATTACCAGGTACTATTGTAAGCTCATATGCAGCATTAAAAAATGAACTTGCTCAATCTGTGATGACTACTGTGGATCTCGACTTGCCCCTTATAGTTGAAACCGACGCTTCGGATACTGCTACAGCTGCCACGTTAACACAAAATGGTAGACCCGTTGCATTTTTTTCCAGAACGCTATCACCAAGTGAACGGCATCACTCAGCGGTGGAGAAAGAAGTTTATGCCATCGTCGAAGCTATTAGAAAATGGCGTCATTATTTACTTGGTACTCATTTCCAACTCATTACAGAACAACGATCAGTTTCTTTCATGTACGATATGAACCACCATGGGAAAATAAAGAATGACAAGATTCAGCGTTGGCGAATAGAACTTTCTTGTTACAGTTTCGATATAATCTACCTTTGTGGCAAAGAAAACAAAGTCGCCGATGCATTATCTCGCGGATATTCTGCTTCTGTCATGGGTGAAACTAATCTGAAAGACCTACATAACTCTCTGTGCCATCCAGGAGTTGTTCGCCTTCTTCACTTTGTGCGTTCTAAGAACCTACCTTTTTCTGTTGATGATGTGAAGAGGACGATATCTAGTTGTGCAGTTTGTGCTGAGCTGAAACCCAGGTTTTGCAAAGTATCCACAGGAAATCTTATTAAAGCGACTTCTCCTTTTGAACGTCTAAATATTGATTTCAAAGGACCTCTTCCTTCAAACTCCCGGAACAAATATCTTCTTACGATAATTGATGAGTACTCTAGATTTCCGTTCGCTTTTCCTTGCCAGGATATGACAGCATCAACTATTATTAATTGCCTGTGCCAGTTGTTTTCCCTGTTTGGTATGCCATCCTACATGCATTCAGACAGAGGATCGTCGTTTATGTCTGCAGAATTAAAACATTTTCTCCACGATAAAGGAATAGTTACCAGTAGAACAACAGCATACAACCCCCAATCAAATGGACAGATTGAACGTCTCAACGGCACTCTCTGGCGATGTATATCACTAGCTGCTAAATCTAGGTCCATACCAATCTGTGAGTGGGAGGTTGTTCTCCCTGACGCTCTTCATTCTATCCGTTCTCTTTTATGTACTGCCACAAATACTACTCCACACGAACGGATGTTCAGGTACAATCGAAAATCAACGTCTGGTGTTTCTCTTCCCAGTTGGTTAACTATTCCTGGACCGGTCTTGATGCGCCGTAATGTACGTTCTAAATATGAATCTCCAGTTGATGAAGTTGAACTGATTGAATGTAATCCCAAGTATGCTCATGTGAGACTTCCAGATGGACGTGAGGAAACAGTGTCTATTCATCATCTTGCACCAAAAGAACATATATTTCAATCGCCCGTTAGCATGCCGATTCCAGACGCAGTACCAGAATGCCTCCAAAATCAACTTACTGAAGACGACATATCCACCCGTTCTACAGATACTGAAACTCCTATTTTGACGGACAATTTAAGTGAAAATGTCAAAATTGATCCGAACCCATCTTCTTTACTAGAGAAACAACGAAGGGTTCGTCCATACAATCTGAGAAGCCGCGAAGTCTAAACAATTTTAAAAGTCTTGACTCCTTATGCTGTGTATTCTCAAACAAAAGGGGAGAAGAATGTGGTGTGAACATTTTCATAAACGTTTAACATTTATATTATACACTATTCACATCTTTCATTTTTGTTTAAACCAGATTATATACTGGAATTATAAAACGAATAAAGCCTTTATTGCGGGCCCTCAATATTCTCACTTGATCGGTGAATGTTTGATTAACTCATAAACACTACAGTTGTCAAACCAAAACATGAAATTAGTATATGAAATCTCTGACAGTTAGTTTGAGTCATGTAGGGAGGCAAAGACTGCTTGGGTGGAGTCCTGGAGATGCTAGAAACCAATGGCTAGAGGAAATTGGTGATATAGCTCAGAATCTTTCTCATTGGAGCAGATTTAATCGCTCTTTGTGATCTGCCATACTCATTAAACCCTATTGTTTTTCATGTTCCTATTCTTTCCGCCTCCTATTTCCGTTAACTATCTTTCTTTCGAATCTCTTTTTTGTCTTTCTTTACGTGCCACATGGAGTGTCGGAGTTTGAACTGCTATACTTTTGCTCGAAGTTCTATGTTGAAACCAGTCAGTGAGTCAAACTGAAGATGTTTGATGAAGACCACTTTATAAGTACACCTACATGGATCTTAGCCCATTTTATGGAGAAAGTGAACGCATACAGACCTGACAAACAAGATAAACTTGGTACATATTTCGTCAAACAAAAGCTTACCAAAGGATGTGTAAGCCTTGGATCAAGAAATATAGCTAAGTTTTGGCACTCAGAGGCGCAACCGGATTCCAAGACGTTAGAGTGATGCACATATTATCAAGTCTCAAAGTAGCTAGATTTATTATAACATATAAGGGCTTAACCGCAGTAAGACTATGGAACTTAAGATTTTACGAACACTTCCTCTTGTTAAAGAAAAGGCGTTTAGTGAAGAGTTACTCTTTTAAATAGTCGCTGAATGAGGGTTTTTAAGTCACTTTATCTTGTGGTTGTCACTAGGACCTTCCTTTTTAAGACTCAATAATAGCAGGATGAAAGTTAGAAAACATTAAAAGTATGTCTGACAACCGCAATCCTCTAGGCTAAAATCTTTAGACACAATGGGCAACAAGTTTAAGTTACAAAAAGGATGGGTCAAGAACGCCGAGACAACACAATATCTGGAGAAGTAATTTGTTTCACAAATATTCGGATGTGTCAAAAAAGTGAGTACTATTTAGAATAAATAACAGGTAATAACTACTTAGACCAGTGCATTTTCAGGCATTTTACATTCGTTTTATTCGTAAGTTTGTAGTTGGACTCGACTAAGGATCTAAAACTTGTAGTCTAAAACCTAGTTTCTGTAAGGCTATTTCTAACATTCGACATACCAAAAACTCATGGATAGAAAATTAAACCTTAGACAGAGGACATCAGTTCAATTTTCCATAGTAATTAATATTTTTTAGTCAAAGAAAAGAAATCGAATACAACAATTAGAAAACCAAATGAATTTTCTACCACAATTAATTACTTTAGTCCTCCTGAACATTCATAGAAAATAGTGACTTTTTACTACACCTCCCAAAGATACTAAATACCGAGTATCACTGAGGAGTTCGAATACAGACCATCGTAAAACTTACTGACTGGATTACACGACAATTTATTCTTTCGCATCTCTGCTAGTCTTCTTCTGAAGAACTTGTACTCGTTGGTCTCTGGAAGTGTCAGGAACCTGTCGAAGTCACATAAAAGTGTTAGGCAACTATACATACCAGTACTGGACGCTGTCCTCAAACTTTTTGATCTCAGCCTCGCACAGACTATGAGACATGCCACAAACGCGAAGGACCAATGATTCGATAGCCACCAAAACCTTAGGATCATCAGGAATAACTGGAAATACGGCACTTAGGACCCATTTATAGGAAGTTAAGACATAAAAAATCACACAAAGCAACTACCTTTTACGTCTTCAATTTTGCATGGTTTACTGAAGCAAAGTCAGTGAAAGCAAAACAAGTTACCTGTCAGAATCATCGATGTCTTCTAATTTAACCTCCTGAACAAAGAGTTAACTTTAAAAAAGCGAACTTACATCAGGGACTATAGGTTTTTCAATAGATACTCTTTCTTGTTCAGCTAAAACCAGTTATTAATTATGCTGAAAAATACCCTGCATTTGCTTAAATAATTCCAGAAAGCTCCCATCATTTTTGAAGGGTATTTTGGATGCCATTCAAACAATAAACAACTCAAATGGTGTTCCAAAGTTGTCACAACTCGACTCTAGTGATACTATCCACAGACTAGGTACAAGTAACCTGAAAGGTTGGACGCAACTCAAGTGTAACGCAAGCACTTGAAGGGACTTGCAATATTCAATATCCTTCAGAATTCAGATTTAGTTGAGGACAGAAGGCTTGAAGCCTATGTTAATCCTTTTCTAGTAAGTTTATGTGCCTGTCCATACCCTTCTTGAATTATTCAGTTGAGGTTGCAGATATCACTTCTTCTGGGAGTCGGTTCCAAGAGTTTATAACTCGGTGTGAGAACCAGTGCTCAACAGCAGTATGATTTCTTCTTGGCTTTTGAACTCTCCTGCTATGTCCTCCAAAGTGTTCCGACTTGGTGGGAAGGAAAAGAGAAAAAAGTTCAGGTCCGTAGTCATTATTTTAAATTTAAAACATTATGGTTAAATCTCCTCTCTGCCTACGGTATGACACGGAGAAGAGATTTAAACTGTCTGGTCTTTCCTCGTATGACAGGTTACTCATGCCGAGAACCATACGTGTTGACTTCCTTTGAACCCTTTCTAGAATGTGTGAGTCCCCTTTAAGACAAGGACTGGATGCCTGGATACAGTTTTCCATTCTTGACCTCACCAGAGATATATATGAGGAGGTGAACATATCTCTGGTACTTCCAGCAAAGGCTCTGAGAATTCCCCATAAGGATCTGAAACTACTTGTAGACACTGCGTGACAGTGTGCTGCAGTTTTTAAATCGTTGCTAACTATGACACCCAAATCCAAATGAGTCTGAAATGATGGGAGTGTTATCCCCTCTAGTTCGCAGGAGCTGATGCGCATGGCTGCACATTTCGCTACATTGATCGGGAGCATCCATTGTCTGAACCACCCTGACGATTTGTTGAGGTCCTTTGCAACGTGAGCATATCACTATCGCCCTTCAGCTGTCTCCAAATTTTTAAGTCATCTGCGTATGGGACCATAGGGCAATCGGTGAGCATAGACAACTCACTGATATACAAAATAAATAGGAGAGGTTCGAGCACTGTGCATTGTGGCACTCCACTACGCACTGCTGCCCAGGAGGAGAGTTCCGGGGTGATCCTAACTCTCTGCCTCCTATATATGAGGAAAAGGAACAAATAGTTCCCACTAGCTTTTGTTCTCCTTTCTTTGTCACTATTATATTGTTGCCCACATATTCTATTACACACTAATTTTATATTTCAAATCCTGCGGTGCATTGTTTAAATATGTGAATGCAATGCTGTTCTTTTTTATTTCTTTTATTTATCTTTTTTCTTTTGTTGTTGTTGTTTTTTATTTTTAAAATCTTATAAAATTTATGAGGTAATTAGATGCACTATTGTAATGTACGCTGAAAATTCCATACATGTACCACAAATACTGTTTGGAATAAAGCTATTATTATTATCCAGTTTAGTCAGCTGCCCTTGATACCAAGACTTTCCAACTTCATGAGTAGTCTTTTATGAGGAACATTATTGAAGGCTTTGCTGAAGTCTATGAAGACGACATCAATTGGTCTTCTGTTGGCCACTGATTTGACCCAGCTTTTTTTGTAGTGAAGAGATTTGACATGCATGAGAGATTTACTGCGAAGGAATGCGAGCTAATGTAAACTAGCCCCAGCCGATTTCTTTGTGCTCGCTCCTTGGTTGTTAGGTAAAGGTTCCTGGTCTCCGGTAACATTTTGCCTTTTTGTCCCGCCAGTTGACTGCCATATCTCCGGTTAGCTACTACGGGAGTGGAGCAGAGATTAGTTATATTTTGGTTTGCAGTATACGAGCTGTTACACCGTACTTCTATAGCGAAAACAAAACCTATATTATAAACACTAGTCAATGTTTTATTTTCTTTACTTGCAGGAAGATATTCGGGAATCAATTATCTGGATCAGGAGATACAACAATTTCTGGATCTAAACCTTAACGAAGACCAGTAAGACTGTTAAACCCTAAGTTTGGACTCCCGTGCTTTTTAAAAGTTGATTCTCGTGGAATAAACATTCTCTGCACAGCTCGTGTTCTGTTTTCATTACTTGTGTGTCCGCTGCTTTCCGTTTTACACTTCTACTGTGGATGAAGTTAATCCTAACATCTGATCATCACCGATAAAAGGGAAAGAAACGGTGATAATTGATATAGTTGTTATCAAATCGGGTCCTAGTGGCTGAATGGCTTACAAGGTTGCCTTGTTACCAGAAGGTACTGGCTTCGAACCCCAGCTGCTAGAAAGGAGTTTCCGGGACTGCAGACACTAAGCGAAAAGAAAGGGGAGTTCACTCGATTCTTTGCTCTCTGATACACAATCCCGCAGCGACTTTATTGCAAGATATCCTCTTTCGGGTAGTTTCGTTCATTTTTAATTCCTTAAGCAGTAATTAGGTCACCGATAGCAGCTAAATCAGAATAGAGCTTATCTCCCCCAATCTTCCATCATGTTTTGTTCCAGATTCTTTTCAAAAGATTGGCTTCCCTTTTATGTAACGAGAAAGCAGTGATACTGTGCACACTGCCCATCTGTATAAGTGATAAACAAGCTCACTTTTTTCACATTTTCAACCGAGATCAAGAGACTTTCAATGTGTTTTTATCCTCTCCTATCAAGCTTTTGTTTATTTGTCTATATCCCCATTGAATCAGTCAGCCTAAGGCACAGACACCATTTTTCTGGAAGTCGATTTCAGACTCACTGTCCTGGCACGAGAACCACCACTTCTTGGCTCTTGAAACATTTTAAATTTCCTCATCAGGGATCAGTAGTAACAATGATTGCATGGAGTCGTGTGACTCACATTTCTATAAGAAGGGGAATTGGACTGCAACTGTCTGCCATCTAATAGGCAATTTTTCTCGGTATATTCAGGGATCACCGTAGTGCGCTTCCAGTAGCAGGTCTATATTCGGATGCCTTGGACTGTTTGTTGTTTTGTAAACCACCATCAAGCCACCCTCATTCCTGTAGCAGCAGAGAATATATAAGCCTGTCGTATTCGGCCGCCACACGATCCTAGTTGTACCCTACAGGAAGAACTAGTCACTTATCTTGAAATATTGTTAGGGGATTGGCATCTGCAACCGAAAGTAGTGCTTCCAAAACGTAGTGAACTTCCAGTTTTGGACATACATGTGTTTTGTCCAACTGCGTAGGCAGCCAGGGTGTAAGCACACCTAGACTACTACACACAAGCTTGAATACTGCAGCGACCTTTGCTGCTTCCATCTCTATATGGAATGCTTGTTCGTGATTCTTTGACCTCCTTGTAATCTCTGATCAGAAACGTAGGTGATTTTCTATCCTCGCATAGAGGATTTTCCACAGAAATATTTCGTGGACACATAATACAAAGCTCTGCATAGACTTTGAAGCAACATATGGAATACTATGTTCAAGTCCTACTACACTAACAAGATTTCTACCAGATGCGGAATATACTATAAACCTGTGGTCACTCGGTCGGCGGTTGGTGATTAAAGATTACGGAAGGATGAGACAAGTAACCAAGTAGGAACAATATTGTCTTTATGATGTTGTAGGGTTCCCTTCTATTAAATGGCATTGAGTAATGAATGCTCTTCCATGCATCTCACTTTCCGGCCTGACTTGGTCATCAGATTTCTTATAAAGTAGACATTTTATATCAACTGCCACCTTGTTATTCCTTATATATTGTCGGTCCGTAATTCTCATATTTACTGTGATATGGGAGTTGTTTGCCAAACACTTTCATGTTATCCAAAACCCCTAGCGAATTTAAAACATATAATATGACGTTTCTTAAGTCTTGTTGATTCTACTCAGATGCTCCCTTTTACTTCCCATGGACGAGCTCCCAATTAAGCTCAAGAATACTAGAGATACCTTAGAAACCGCTTTTTCTATCATAGTAATTATTCAACTTACTTACCAACAGATCATAAAATCGTTGAAGACCGTTGGTGTTTGTGAACCTTTATTTTCGAAAGCCCAGGAGACAGCGAGTGAAACGGGTAAAATATAGTCAAACATACAGATTGGCATTTACCGTTCCACAGATAAAGTCAGCCTCTCAAATCATGAAGAAGATATAATCCCTACTTGGTTACACGTATTATCCTTCTGAACTCCTCAGGTACTTACTACATCTGAGTGGTCATGGTACAACGTGTTGCATAGGCCTTACAATAGCACCACACTGGCCTGCTGATGGAGAGGTAGCGTATCTAGCTTCTACTCCCTACATAGTTCTCGGCGGCCTGCTTAAACCTTGGGTTACCAAAAATTTTCCGTCACTATTATTGCATCTGATTACTCGGATTTATTTTGTTTTAATTATGCATTTATGTGTCCAAATCGTATTACTTACTCCCGCGATTATTTGAAATGTTTTCAACCAGATGATTTACATGTTTATAATAACCTTAACAAAAAGCATCATGGTGAGTGGCAACGATCCTTAAAGGGCACTCCAGTGCACCAGACGACTGTTCCTGTGATTTTGAGCACAAATTGCAGGTCATTATCGAACAAGATTAATTACTTGGATGCTCTATTATGTTCAAATATTTATCGTAATACAGGTATAAAACGCTTCAAAAAAACTTGGCTCCTCGATCCATGGGATGACGGTTTAATCTCACTAAATGGTTTCAGTAAGTACGGACAAGACTGAAGTAGTTCAAGGAAGAAGCGAGATGGTGATGTTGCTACTTTTATCGATTCTCAGTGGTCTGTTGCAAACAACGTCTGCTTTAAATTCTCAAATGATAATATTGACTGCATAACTGTCAAATGTTGACCTAAACACCTGTCTAAGTACAACTTCATCTTTATCACGAACATTTATGTCACACCTTTTTGTACCACTTCAGAACTATCTATGTTTGCTGATGAATTCACTATTTTCTCTGCCGCCGCTTTTGGAAACTCATTGTCCATAGTGACAGGTGATTTTAATTCTTGTGACTGCAGCTTTCTTACAGCGCTTGGCCAGAAAAACGTCATTAACTTCCCCACCTGACTGGATACTTCTCTTGATCTTGTATTAATAAATAACTGCGGAATATACGAAGCTCGAAAAAAGAGCCCCATTGTTTGAGGCAGATCATTGTAATGTACGGATTTTACCCAAAATTTATGGAAAGTTACACAAGAAAACCTTTTCACACCTTTCCAAGAAAATTGTACATGGATGTGACTCTGAGGAGACAGTTCAGAATCTTAGGAGCATGCTCAAAGACACAAGGTGGGACTTGTTTAATGAAGACTCTCTTGATGACACTATCTCTAATATTACATGTTATCTCGAATTTTGTCTCGATACCTGTCTTCCCAAAAAAACACTATTCATCAGATTTCACTGTTTCTCCCCCCTCAACTTAAAAAGATTCGCAGGCGAAAAGAAAAGTTATACAAAATGAAAGATAACATTGTTTTGAAAAGAATTAACATCCTAATAAAGTCTGAAATGCACATATTGAATTCAATTTATAAACAAAAGTTTACATCCTATAAAAATGCCTCTAAAATATGCTATTACCTCTCCTCTTCTAAAAACAATGGAAAAGTTACTCTCAATTAATCTTCGACCTTCACTTAAAGCCTTTAACGATCCCAATTAATTCGCCTATAATCACAGTAGAAGTACTTTAGATGCAACTGCAGTCTTGCATCATAAGATTGTCTCCAGTTTAGACAAGGGGGTTTAATTTTTTGTTGCACCTTGCTGGATTCACATCTGCTTTCGACTCAGTACCTAGGGACATCTTGTTAAACAACCTTGCTGAAACTCAAACTGACTGTTAGGTTGTCAAATGACTGCATTCTTATTTCTCAAAAAGGAAGCAGTACACTGTGCGTCAGGGAGAGTCGTCCTCTTCATTGCCTAATGAGGCTGGTGTCCCTCAAGGTGCTGTCCTTTCTCCTTTTCTGTTTTCTTTCTTCTTGCATGACTTGCCTCACTCTGATGAAATGAACTTTGTTAAGTATGCCGACGATCTAACTATTTCCATGCCTGTTAACTCCCAGCTAGACGTACTAAGATGAATAGCTTTCTATTAGGAGTTAGCAAATGGCCTTCGGTGAATTTTTATCCACAGTAGTGAGGAAATATATAAATCCACAGTACCCGTTGTAAACATTTAGTGGAGGTAGGAGCCAACAAAGTGACTCATTTAAGGCATATGCATATTTCCCATGATCACGGCGACACTCTGCGTAATATGTCAAAATCGT